GGGACCAGACATGAAGTTTCCAGAGGTCTGGACGCGGGTGCCACAGGGTGCCCCGTCTCTGAGTCAGTAGATCCGTCCTTAGAGGAATCTGCCAGGGAGGGGCTGTCGTGAGGAGCATTAGTTCGGGGAACCAGGTCCGAGTGGGCCAATACGGTGCCACAAGCAGGACCTGCTCCTCGTCCTCCCTGACCTTGCACAGCATCTGTGCGAGAACACTCACTGGGGGAAACGCATACTTGCGCAGGCCCCGCGACCAGCTGTGTGCCAGTGCGTCCGTGCCGAGTACACCTTGTCGGTTGATGTACGCAATGGTTGCCATGTTGTCGTTCGGACCAGCACGTGCTTGCCTCGTAAGCACCCTTTGAGACGGTTCAAGGCAAGGCGCACTGCTAACAACTCTAGGCAATTGATATGCCAGTGCAGTTGGGGACCCGTTCATACCCCCGACACTGCGTGTCCGTTGAACGTGGCCCCCCAGCCGGTGGTGGAGGCATCCGTGTTAACCACAGCATGCCTGGAGACCTCTTCTAGGGGCACTCCTGCCCAGGAGGAACGCAAGGTCTGACCACGGGGTGAAGGTTTGGCAACAGGCCGGTGTCATAACTGCCGCTGCAGCTGCCATATGCCCCAGGAGTCTCTGAAATAGTTTCAGTGGGACCGCTGGCCTGCCCTTGAATGAATATAAGTAGTTCAGCACCGACCGCGCACGTTCCTTTGTGAGGCATGCTGTCTGTTCGACCGAATCCAACTCCATACTGAGAAAAGAGATCCTCTGCGTCGGGGAGAGTTTGCTCTTTTCCCAGTTGACCTGAAGGCCCAACCGGCTGAGGTGCGAAAGCACCAAATCCCTGTGTGCACACAACTAATGCTGAGACTGAGCTAGTATGAGCCGGTCATTGAGGTAGTTGGGAATGCGAATGCCCTGTTCTCTCAGGGGAACAAGGGCTGCGTCCGCAACTTACGTGAAGACACGGGGCAGGACCTCGTACTGATATGCTTGTCCTTCGAACGCGAACCGCAGAAATGGTCTGCGGTGCGGAAGGATCGACACATGAAAGTACGCATCCTTCAGGTCGATTGCTGCAAACCAATCTCGGGGACGGATGCACCTGAAGACACTCTCAAACTGCCCGCTGCTGCCTGCTGCCTCCGGGTGGAGGCAGCAGCTGCCCGCCGGGGCAGGGTGTGATGACCCGCCTAAGTCTGCTTTTGTGCAGCCGAGAGCTGCTGGGCCAAGCTCTCAACCGCGTCGCCGAAGAGGCCGGTCTGGGACACAGGGGCATTAAGGAACCAAACTTTGTCGGCGTCCCTTATATCAACCAGACACAGCCAGAGATGGTGCTCCTGGACCACAAGTGTGGACATCGCACGACCCAGAGAACTCGCGGTGACCTTCTTCGCTCGGAGCGCGAGGTCACTAGCGGTTCGGAGCTCTTTCAGAACTTCCGGATCATGACCACCCTCGTGCAGGTTCCTCAGTACCTTGGCCTGATGAACCTGCAGTAACACCGTAGCGTGTAAATCGGAGGCAGCTTCTCCACAGGCTGTATAAGCATCGCTGGACAGGCCAAATGTGTACCTACAGACCCGGGAGGGGAGGCACGGTTCGCCCTGCTGGGTGGAGGTGGTATTAGGACACAATTGCATTGCAATCGACCGCTCCACTGGGGGGACCCTTGTATACCCCCTAGCTGCACCACCATCGAGGGTGGTGAGGGAGAAGGAACCAGCAGGTCGGTTTCCAGCAGTAAAAAGGTGCCGTCCATGACCTGGTGAGCTCCTCATGCACCTCCGGGAAGAAACGCACTGATTGGCAGCTCAACTGGTTGCGAAGCGCTAGAGGAGCGATGGTCCCCCGAGGGTTGGTTCCCTGAGGGATTTGCCACCACTGTAACCCTCAGACCGCCCGTGCTACTGCCCGAAGTAGTCCACGCCTGGCTGCCGCCAAGACGAAGATGAAGACGAAGCTCCGAGATGGTCATCTTCCAGCAATGGGAATATGACTCATCTGCGAATGCCACCTCAGCGTGTTTAATGCCGAGACACGTGAGGCAGCAATCGTGACCATCACCCGGTGCCAGGTAACGACCACATCCAGAAACGCACGGGTGAAACGGCATCTTTAAAAAGACAATCCGTCGTCTTTACAAAGACGCACCCGCTTATTGTACTCTTTTAGAGAAATTGGCTCTTTTAGGGAAATGCTCTTTTACGTGCTGAGACGCACAGGGGAAACGGCCGTTTGCAGCACGACAGGGGGTAGTGCAGCCTGAAGTG